CCCACCCTGCCCTGCACCTCCCTGCCCTCCTGGTTCCACTCACTGTAAACGTGGAGCTGGGTCTGCATCTCGGCCACTACCGAGCTGCCCGCCTTCACCTGGCACTTGAAGGTCCTGGTGTCCTGCAGCGTCACCCTCCTGATGACCAGGGTAAAGTCCTCCATCTCCACCCGGCCCTTGTACTCCGTGTCCTCCTGGAAGACTCGTTTCGGGATTTGTCTGTCGATCTGGAGCGGAGGGAGGAGGAGAGGAACTCGCCGCGCCGGCCCGCCCCCACCAGGTGTGGGGCGCTCTGTGTGCCACCAGGTGTGGGGCGCTCTGTGTGCCACCAGGTGTGGGGCGCTCTGTGTGCCACCAGGTGTGGGGCGCTCTGTGTGCCACCAGGTGTGGGGCGCTCTGTGTGCCACCAGGTGTGGGGCGCTCTGTGTGCCACCAGGTGTGGGGCGCTCTGTGTGCCACCAGGTGTGGGGCGCTCTGTGTGCCACCAGGTGTGGGGCGCTCTGTGTGCCACCAGGTGTGGGGCGCTCTGTGTGCCACCAGGTGTGGGGCGCTCTGTGTGCCACCAGGTGTGGGGCGCTCTGTGTGCCACCAGGTGTGGGGCGCTCTGTGTGCCACCAGGTGTGGGGCGCTCTGTGTGCCACCAGGTGTGGGGCGCTCTGTGTGCCACCAGGTGTGGGGCGCTCTGTGTGCCACCAGGTGTGGGGCGCTCTGTGTGCCACCAGGTGTGGGGCGCTCTGTGTGCCACCAGGTGTGGGGCGCTCTGTGTGCCACCAGGTGTGGGGCGCTCTGTGTGCCACCAGGTGTGGGGCGCTCTGTGTGCCACCAGGTGTGGGGCGCTCTGTGTGCCACCAGGTGTGGGGCGCTCTGTGTGCCACCAGGTGTGGGGCGCTCTGTGTGCCACCAGGTGTGGGGCGCTCTGTGTGCCACCAGGTGTGGGGCGCTCTGTGTGCCACCAGGTGTGGGGCGCTCTGTGTGCCACCAGGTGTGGGGCGCTCTGTGTGCCACCAGGTGTGGGGCGCTCTGTGTGCCACCAGGTGTGGGGCGCTCTGTGTGCCACCAGGTGTGGGGCGCTCTGTGTGTGCCACCAGGTGTGGGGCGCTCTGTGTGTGCCACCAGGTGTGGGGCGCTCTGTGTGTGCCACCAGGTGTGGGGCGCTCTGTGTGTGCCACCAGGTGTGGGGCGCTCTGTGTGTGCCACCAGGTGTGGGGCGCTCTGTGTGTGCCACCAGGTGTGGGGCGCTCTGTGTGTGCCACCAGGTGTGGGGCGCTCTGTGTGTGCCACCAGGTGTGGGGCGCTCTGTGTGTGCCACCAGGTGTGGGGCGCTCTGTGTGTGCCACCAGGTGTGGGGCGCTCTGTGTGTGCCACCAGGTGTGGGGCGCTCTGTGTGTGCCACCAGGTGTGGGGCGCTCTGTGTGTGCCACCAGGTGTGGGGCGCTCTGTGTGTGCCACCAGGTGTGGGGCGCTCTGTGTGTGCCACCAGGTGTGGGGCGCTCTGTGTGTGCCACCAGGTGTGGGGCGCTCTGTGTGTGCCACCAGGTGTGGGGCGCTCTGTGTGTGCCACCAGGTGTGGGGCGCTCTGTGTGTGCCACCAGGTGTGGGGCGCTCTGTGTGTGCCACCAGGTGTGGGGCGCTCTGTGTGTGCCACCAGGTGTGGGGCGCTCTGTGTGTGCCACCAGGTGTGGGGCGCTCTGTGTGTGCCACCAGGTGTGGGGCGCTCTGTGTGTGCCACCAGGTGTGGGGCGCTCTGTGTGTGCCACCAGGTGTGGGGCGCTCTGTGTGTGCCACCAGGTGTGGGGCGCTCTGTGTGTGCCACCAGGTGTGGGGCGCTCTGTGTGTGCCACCAGGTGTGGGGCGCTCTGTGTGTGCCACCAGGTGTGGGGCGCTCTGTGTGTGCCACCAGGTGTGGGGCGCTCTGTGTGTGCCACCAGGTGTGGGGCGCTCTGTGTGTGCCACCAGGTGTGGGGCGCTCTGTGTGTGCCACCAGGTGTGGGGCGCTCTGTGTGTGCCACCAGGTGTGGGGCGCTCTGTGTGTGCCACCAGGTGTGGGGCGCTCTGTGTGTGCCACCAGGTGTGGGGCGCTCTGTGTGTGCCACCAGGTGTGGGGCGCTCTGTGTGTGCCACCAGGTGTGGGGCGCTCTGTGTGTGCCACCAGGTGTGGGGCGCTCTGTGTGTGCCACCAGGTGTGGGGCGCTCTGTGTGTGCCACCAGGTGTGGGGCGCTCTGTGTGTGCCACCAGGTGTGGGGCGCTCTGTGTGTGCCACCAGGTGTGGGGCGCTCTGTGTGTGCCACCAGGTGTGGGGCGCTCTGTGTGTGCCACCAGGTGTGGGGCGCTCTGTGTGTGCCACCAGGTGTGGGGCGCTCTGTGTGTGCCACCAGGTGTGGGGCGCTCTGTGTGTGCCACCAGGTGTGGGGCGCTCTGTGTGTGCCACCAGGTGTGGGGCGCTCTGTGTGTGCCACCAGGTGTGGGGCGCTCTGTGTGTGCCACCAGGTCCCACAAGAGGGAGCTTCCTCTCGCCCCATAAGTCACCTTCCAGGTGCTGATTACGGTGGAAGGGGGAGGAAATTGACAATTAGCGGCTCAAGGGAGCCAGTGACACATGGATGGGGGAGGCATTCACAGAAAAGCCCCCCCGCTGTCCCCAGCATCTTCCCACTGGGTGCCTGTGTCTCTTCCCCAATGCACCTTCCTGCTGGGGTCCCCCCCACCTGCCTCCCCTCACTTCTGCGCTTTCACCCCCCTCGCGGGGGCTGGTACTCACGTAGAACCAGTTGATTTCGTCGTAGTTGCTCTCTCCAGGGGAAGAGACGTTGCATTTGATCCTGGCCGTCTCCCCGAGCTCCACCTCCACCACCGGGCCGGCCCCCCCTGCTGAGATGGGGCACAGACACACAAGACTCTACATGGGCGGCTGTGGGGGCCAAAATCAGCCCCTCCGGGGAGACGACTGCCCTGCCCCCCAACGAAGAGTGACATGGGATGGATCGGTCCCTGGGAGATGTCCCCTCTGCTTCTCCCCACCCTAGGGGCCCCTGTGGGTACCGTGACCACGTCGTGGCCTGGCAGGTAGGACCCATTGCCCACACT